TTTTTTTTTTTTTTTTTTTTAATGAAAAGTAGTATTTGAGTAGTTTGGCTGTCTATTGTGCCAATTATCTCGTATCAATTATCAATGATCTCGTACCAATTATGTGGTCAGATGTTGTCACGGTCCATTCAGCTTCAGCTAGCTCAATGGCAGGGCGTGCATGTCAGCAACAAATACATAGAAAAGGCTCACTAATGCTGTGTTTCGTGATTTTCAACTGTAATTTCTGAAAAACTGGCAGTTGCCGACATGCATCTTTCGATAAGAATACTGCAGTGATGGTTTGGTTGTCTTAGATATCACCAGTTTATATGATAGCTTATACTGTGTCTAGTCAGGCTGTTAAACTACAGTCCTGGGTAGCAATAGAAGTTTTTACTACAGACAGGAAAGTTGTATCGCGCAAAGTGCGTCACCTTGTGCTCATGAAATGATTTTTAAAATTTGTTTATGCATTTTTTTATAAATATAATTTCTTATTAGTGTATTTTAATATTACATATTATATATGATTTTACATATTTTGACATTTCATACCACATTTTTCTGGTCTCCAATCATAATTCTACTTCGTATTGAATTGAATTGATGCCTTATTTCACATGGCAAGACTCAGGTCATGAGGCTCGCTCTTCCGTCTGATTACACAAATTTTGCTCTTTTCACCAACTAGCGGAGAAAGGAGGTATTTCTTGGGCGATGAAATAGGCGATTTGAATTTAACTCAGAGGTGTCATTTAGACTTAAGGATCTTTTACATGCAAGTAAATCTACTACCATGAGACAGTCGGCTTTACTTCCCCTCTGAAAGAAGATTTACGAAGGATTTTTTCACCCCTAAAAAATCCACGGCTTTGATCAGATTTGAACCCGCCAACGATACGCTAACCATTACACCATCGCCGCCGCATTGGTATTGAATAAAGAGCAACGGAATAGGTTCTGGAGTTCAAAAAACTTGCACAGATTGGATTTATTGTCATACACCACCCATATATTTCAATGTTTGTTTTTTACAATGTTAAATAAGAAATCCTCAAAAGGTAAGACCATTATAAATATAGAAGAAAATAGACAAACTGCAGACAAATATAATGAACTTATTACTGAAATTAGTGGCAATGTGCCGCTTATGAAAACTTTTCCTCCTCTGTTATTACCCAACAACTGTTCATATTTCATTAAAAAATATGTGGTTTAATGTAATGATCGAGGGATAAATAGCATTTAGAAAGAATTATCAGGTTTTAATATTAGAGGTAAAGACAGGTTCAAAAAATATTACTCGAACTCTTCAAAATTTCTGAGGTTTTAATGAAATTCAGAACTATATCACGTTCATAAATATAGTTTTCTCAATTGCAGCAAAGAATTTAAAGAAAAGTGATGGTGCAACAATAGCACCTACTTTCTCACATCTTCCATACTAGTTTTCCCATAATTTTACATGAAATTAAGGTATATCAAAATTTTAAATTTCTCTATAACAAATTCATTTATAAAGAAAAATTTCCTAACAGAGACAACACTATTTAAACCATTGAATTACGTTACACTTCATCATGACACTGAATTAAGGATAGACAATTGTGTTATTATGTGTTGGTGAAATGAATATATAGCTAATAACTTCGACGATCACATTGCTTGACATAAATGTAAAACTTCGATAACATATATTATTGTTCCAGGGATTTTGAATTGTAATGAATCAAATGAGTAATTTTGTAGCGCTACAGGTGCTATGATTCTCTCAATTTTATCCCATTACCAGAATTATGTATTTAGTTATACATGTCCTAGTAGTCGATATTGTAGCAATTTGCCCTTTATGTGTTGAACTGTTCGTATAGTTGCCATCTTGTTCGTTTGCTTGCTCCTAGCCTGTCTGCTTGCTATAACTTATCACCATTCTTGGTAGTATTTGCTTGACTAATAATTGTTTTGTAGTTCTTGTAATATGTTGGTGTTCAGCCGATCCGGTGGCCGAGATCGCTAAGGCAGTAGTGCCATAGCGATCTCGTACCAAAAGATCGCGGGTTCGAGTCCCGCCTCGGGCATGGTTGTATTGTGTTCGTCCTTTCACCCCCTATCATCCATCATCCTCCATCTCTCATTATCACCTTTCTGAATAACATTCAGAATTGTAACTCGAGGATTTATCCTCACCTCAAGGTGAAAACCTTCGACAGTCGACCATGAACAGTAAAAGTGAAGTGGAATGACTCAAGTGGTCCAATGTGGCCAATCAAGTTAATAATAATAATAATAATAATAATAATAATAATAATAATAATAATAATAATAATAATAATGTTGGTGTTCTTTGCTAATTTTTTTTATTTCATTTTTTGTTCCTTCTTGTTACACAATCACTGTTCACAATTTTATATGGACTCTTTTCAAATTCCTGGTTTCTTTTGATCTTTTATCCAATTATTACTTACTTTATAATGCATACTTAAATACTCACAAAATTTATTATACTGAAAGGAAGTACCTTGAACTTGTTATTAGTAGATCCATATCAGGAGACAAGCTCTAAGCTCCCAACAAGTGTAATATTGTAGTGCATGTCAGTGTGTAAGGGGTGAGGATAGGATAAGGAAGAGGAAGGAAAGATTGCACCCAGTCCATGGCCCACTTGTTAGGGTACTGTTTCGGCCCTCGCTTAGCACTGATCAGAAACAGAAAATTGTAGATCAGTGCAGCCGGATGTTGTAATTCTCTTTCAGAAAGCAGCCAAATTCAAAGTAGCTGGTGTCAAAAATCTTGCCTACTTCTAGACTCAAACCCGAGGACCCCAAACAGAGGCACTGCAGTGCCTTCAGTTGATGCCATAAGCCACCTTTGCCATACTGATGGCATTGAGGTTAAATTCACTTCTGTGTGCATATTAATTATAATGATCAAACAACATTCTTTATTGTTTTAATACAGGCTTTTATTTTATATAATGTACATAAATATTTTACCATATTTTCATGATATCAGATTATATTATTTGCAACCATTAAATTGAATGTTAGTGAAAAATCCAAAAGTTCCATGTTATGAATAAAGACTGATTTCACAGTTTGGCTTCTTGAAAAAAATATGGGTGTAAATTAGAATTGTTGCTTAATCAAAAAATGTATTTCCTATTATGCCAGTATCTATGAACATTTATCCTTTTGAATGTACTGAGAATATGAAAATTCAATTCTGTTAATACAAGGCTAATCTGAATGTAAATTATTTGCACCCAGGAAAAGCATCATAAATGACATAGCAACTTTGTGATTCTTTTTCTGATGATTTTAAATATCCTACTAACTTCAATTTTTTTTTTGTTTTTTAGTATCATTTTACATAAATTTATGAAAAGATAAAAATTACTCATAATTACAAGAGCATAAACTGCTATTCAGTTTATGATAATAGTCTTATATATTCTTATCACTGATATCAAAACTATAAAATATAATACTTCAGAATTAGATCTTGATTTATTATATCATAACATACAATTTTCTCAAGAAAAAAATGGGAACATAAACACAGGAAAATGACCTTAATTAAAAATCAAAAAAACACGGCAGTTCTATTAGTATTTAGAATTACAAAGAACTGCCCAAACTTCATTGATGTTTTCAATATTTTGTTGTTTACTATTAGATCCTTAGGGAGATCTATGTTTGGACATGATATATTACAATTGACACACTACAGTGCTCTAGTGCTTAAAGTTTTCATGAAAATGCATTGCTTAGTTCTGTGAATCATAAGAATCAGGCATTGGGTCTAGAAAAGAGTAATAACTTATTCAATTGAAAATGTCCCAAACGTTTGTTTGTTTGCTCTTATTATCAAAATTATATAGAGCTTTTGGAATTGAAGAGGATTTTTCATTTTCAAATACAGCTTGAACTCCTCTTTGTCCAAAGTTTAAAGATGCTTCTGAAAAGAGAACACATTCTGAAACATACACTCCCTGATTTTTCTTCTAACAAGGAAACATTCTGAGGAATCCCATTCCAATTTTGCTCAATTTTTGATCTCTTATTTGGGATAAAGAAACAAGCTTCATACATTTTTTTCTTGTTTTGAAGGAATGATGGTGAGCTCACTCTCAAAAAGCGAAATTTAATATATTGTTTTACTTAGGAAAATAGAAATGTTTCAAGTGAACACAATTCCAAAATGTAAAACACATTACAAATTCACTTTAAGGAAGAGTAAATGCCACTCAAAGATAAAATCAGGTTTCCAAAATATTCCTCAGAGTAACCAAATAAAAAGGAAAACGTTATAGCATATAGTTTCCTTGCTAATTTACGAGTCAGTATTTTTGTTACATTCACAATATCCCTAATTTCATGGGTAATTTTGATATTTTTGAGTTTTGTTACGGAAGTCTGAGAAAGATAATTTATGCTCAATTCTCTCAATTTTTTAAAAAAAAGTTGTGTATAGGCAAGGGTGGATGCAGATACAAATTTTGGGAAAAGAAATTAAAAATGTTTGTGTCCAATATGTCATTACAAAGTTTGTAAAATGTCACAAGCTACACTCGGCTCATGCTGCGATATGATTCATTCATTTGAATGATTATCTGAAAATATTATTGCTTGAAACTTTCACGACAAATTAAAATTAATACTTACAGAAAAAAATTGACCCTCATTTTCCTCCCTGTAGATCCACACCTGGTATGGGGATCTTATAGTGAACAGTAACTTTAAAATCGATTTTACTAAGGCGTTGTGTGAGAGTAATATAATTGAGTCCCAGTTTTTTAATTTTTCTGATTGTCTTTTTATAGTTCTGAGCATTTTGACTGCTATATTTATGGTTTATTGATTATGGCCACCAAAATTTATATCTATTTGATGGTTTCCAGATGTTGATTGCCAAAATAAAGTCCATGTTGTGGAATGGCAATTTACAGAAGAGGAAGTGCAATACTCAATCAACACTAAATTTTATAAGAATAGCATTTAATTTTGTTCACATATTTTTACTCACCTGACTCTTGTCTTGGAGTCATTTGTTGCATTGCTTGTGAGAGATACTTCTGAAAGAAGAGAATAAATTGAAGTTTAATAGAATCTCTTATTAGTGTCAAAATCACTACTGGTTTGACAAACTGAAGAGGAGAGAGTGGGGTAAAAGGAGCATTTAAATGAACAGAAGAGAGAAAATACTAAAATGTTTTATTCTCTGGTAAACTAGAAAATACCCTGATCAAGATGAGAATCACTGATCCAAAAGCTATGTTCCATATTTACCATAAATACAATACCCAGAACATAGATACAGTAAATTTAATTTTTAGCATGTTGATAAACATTTCATGGTGTCGTTTGTGATGGATTATCCTAGGTTTTATGAAAACCACCACAAAAGTTTATAGGGAATGTATTAGGAAAACTACGATGTCAATATAGATGATAGAATGAACTTAGAGATAAAGAATGAGAGTGGAAGGAACCAGCTTAGTAAAACAGTGAAAAATAAAGTGTTTAAGTGTATTTGTGGACACATGAGGAATTTCTGTGAATAATAATATAAATAATAAATAGAAAATGAAAATGGATGTCAAAAAATAAATAATATGATATGTGAACAAGCAATAGCCAATGGGGAGAAACATAGATATTAGACAGATGAAAGAAATGTGCTGCTTCAATGCTATAGTAAGAAGAAATGCTGTTTCAATGCTATAGTAAAAGGCAAGGGAAAGTCGGATATTATTACTTGCGGAACAGAATGAATTGAGTCGTGATAGCAAATGGATGTGAGTGAGTAGCACAGTTTGTGTCGCATACAATTTTTTGGAGTATGAGAACTAACTGTAAAAAAGGCAGAATTGGAAATGTAAAGCAAGTTTTTCAATAGAATTCGAATGTAATCATGTAAGTGGAACCTGAATGAGTTCCAGCGACAAGATCCCTTAGGGACACGAAGTTAGAGAGCAATTATCACAAGTCCAGTGGAAGTTGTAGGAGAATTGGAGAAAACAAAAATTATAACTTTTTTTTTGAGATGGATATGTTTTCTTTATTTAAATAGTATAAATTCAATGATCCCTATGTAATTATGGAGTATACGAGTTCCCTACATAATTCTTTCATTCTTGAAATCTTGTATGGGCAAGTCTTTCACCCTACGTATATAAATATTTGTATTACTTGTAACAATTCCAGTTCTAAAAAATTTAGGAGGAAACAAATTAATTAATAAATGTCACTACTGAGCAAGCCAGGGTAGGTGAAATTTAGGTATTCATATTATGAAATAAATTAGTAATTATTAGTTCACAAGAGAAGAATTTGAGCGAGTTGCACTTTGTCCTAAAATTATTCGTTTTAAGAACAAAGTTAACTTTTATCACTTTCTGGACACAGTATATTTTCAATCAGTGTAGTTTTTAAAACTATTACTAGGTCTTACAAGGGCTCTGAAATGATCTGAATTATTAAAAATATTTTACAAAGTTCTTGAGAATTACTTTCTGCACTCTGTGAAATTTATTATGCTATAACTTAATCATCGGTAATGCCATCAGAGCTTTGGATATTGTCAATAAATTCCTGACTCACGAAGCAAGGAGGGGATGTATCTGAGAGTTTCCAAATCACGAGTGGTATTTAATAGGACTAATTCATGAAGTAATTATTTCCAACAGTTCCAAAATGTGCCAAATATTGAAAATAACTGAAAGCTATGTTAAAATCACATGCAACGTAACAATTGATGTAGTATACTGCCACCTAAGATAGATGAGTCGAAGTTTATGATTGAGCAGTAGGGAGAAGCGGTAAGAAAAATCAGATAGCAAAAGTTATACTTTTTTAGATATATCACCCTGATTGGGGCATTTTGTTGGTTTTAATTTCTATTGATAAAACACTATTGGTTTTAACTTCACTAGTGGAATAGTCAATACAATCTGTCAATTTAAGATCCCATTAATTCTGTACTCTGATTAACTTATTTATTTTTGCTAAAAACAATATAAACAATTAATTATGAAACTGTACTTAAATAATTTATTATTATTATTGACGTCACCTTTAAGCACTATCAAATGTTGGTGAGTTTTTTCAGGTGTTGAAAGAGACACTGCTGTTTTTTTTTTTCCTAAGGAAAATAAGAAATGTTTCCAATGACATTTTTCTGAGAAATGCTTCTTATTTGTACAACAGTTTCTCTACTACCTATAATGCCTAGAAAGTTGTGCCTACATTGAGTTGAAGAGCTGAAGATATTTCTAAGAATAGAGCAAGAAAAATTCTACTTTTTCTGATACAAACGAAGCAAAACACAAATTTGTGAATTGACGATTGGGAAGCAAGTTACAGCAGCCTTGTATATCACATGATCCTGTGATTGCACCTGATTTTACGCCATCAAAATTTTATTTACTTTACATCAAAAACAGTTAGAAACTGTGTTTGACATGCTACAAGAAAAAGTGTATTGTGTGCAAATTTTCTTAATCTTTCAAAATTCTGTTTCAAATTTTCCTTAAGGATCCCTACCATAAACCGTATATAAGTTGAATTCTGAATACAGAAAGATAAGAGCGTTTTTGGCAAGGATTGTTAGCAAAATATTAAATCTGATGCAATAAAATCCTTTTCGAAGGCACATCAGCTATAGATTTGGATTCTTATTCCTTATCACGTCCTTCATGAAGGAATATTCTTTGCCATGACAACATGAACGTTAATTAGATTAAATATTTTTTGCAATGAGCTCTAGAAGATGTGTACAATAAAGCAAGATGTGCCTAATAATTATCTTATTATAATGAAAATGATACCATAAATTTAAAAATAGTTCATTTTAAAAATTTCTTTATATTTCCATTTGGTTAATTGTACAACGTTTCAACAATGATATTTCTTGTCTTTTTCAAGTGCTGAAAAAATATTTTTAAAAACGTGTATCAGAATGAGTTACATTTTACTACGTAATTGTTTGTTCAAAATATTTGAAGCTTACCTACAGCAAATTATTATACTTCTCGATTCAAGGTGATGTAGTCATTCAAAAATCAATAAAAATTTCTTCACATTAAAACATTCATTAAAAAAAAAAGTTTATGATTGGAAAGATTATGCATTAGAACTTACTAGGGCACGAAGGGAACCAGAAGTTGCATTCAAGTTTTGACTTCTCTCTTTCTTGAATTCAGGTGTTAAATTTCTTCCATCACCAATGGTGCTGACACTTGGCTTGCTGGCCAATGCTGTGTGAACAATTGGGTGACCATATAAGACAAAAATTATGAAAAGTGACTAATGAAAAATGAAAAATATAATTAAATTATTACATGTTGAAGATCTCTGATCAGTACTTATATTTGTAATTTTTGAAGCTTCAATGACCTTGTCAGTAGAAGCATGATTAATGGCTTTTAGACCAGAAGTAAGGGTAGCATCTATCTTTCTCTTTCTGGGAGTAGCAATGCAAAGTCCATCTGAAAAAGTTGTCATAACTAGAATTCATTTACTTGCAATACTTGTTTTCTGTAATTTTCTAGCTAGATTTGCTTTGAAATCATAAACATAATAAAAAAACAAATATTTTTTATGTATATCATATGGTCAGTATAAATTAAATAATAAACTAATATTAATTTCATAATAAATTTGATTCTTTTTCTCTCTTTTTTCCATCTGAATTTTTCAGAAATAATTTTTTCGAAGTAAATTAGGATTATTATTAGAATTAAGGGTACAGATATCAAACACCATTCTATTAATTTTAATGTAGAATTTGTGTTCCAAGTACAATAATATTTTTGTAGATTATGCAAATACCTTTTGCATTACTAGAAATTTGTTCTATTTCGTCCCCTCCATTTGGGAATGATGAATGAACTGTTGATGTAGCTTGACTAGCATTTCTACAAATTGTGGCATTGAAAGCAGGGATCTAGACAAGAAGTAAATAACAACTGTAAAATGAAGGTACTTATTACAAGATTTTAAAATATTTAGTCAAATAGTATGCTGAACTTACCATTAGTTCGGGCACTGTGATTGATGAAATTGGTCCTACAGGGAAAGGAGATATCCCATGCAAATTAGTTGCTTGGAACTTTTTATGCTGAAATGGAATGTTATTAACAATTTTTTGTTAGAGTTGTAATTAATTTACAATTTACAGGCAAATATTCAAACATGAAATTACTGTCAATAATTTTAAATTAATTTTTCAAAATAAAATTTTAGATATTTGTTTGTTTTTTGAAAAAATGTTTGATGTTACAATATTCAAACATTTATAAATTGCTGCTTTGATAAATACCCTCAATTGATGTAGGATATTATCAAGTCTTCTCTTTCCTCCACTGAAAAAATTGTTGATGTAAAATTAATAGTGGTGGCAATATAGATGCAATTATATGAACAGACGCTTTTGTACATATTTTCTGATAATAAATGAAGAAATTACGATTTACATAAAATATCTGTAAAAAACCTTGAGAGAGTGGCCACATAAAATCATATAATAAAATAAATCTCATGGGCAATTGCAAAAGTGAGGTTGCAGTGTTCGCAACCACAATCCCCGTCCATTTATGGGAATTGCTCCTCTGCAACTGACTTGTAATAAATATTTGTCACTAGCCATAGAATTTTAGGATTTTAGTTCTAATATGACTGCAAGCAGAATGGTTCTGGGATTATTTGTAAAACTCTCGATGTTCCGACTTCTTTTGTGTGACATACACGTTCCAATAAGATCATCAGTTGTCATATTTGTGCCACTCGCAACTTCACAAAGTATTTTGATTTTTCCGAATGTTCTTCTAGTTCTCCCCCCCACCCCTTGAGTAGCCATGAACAAGAATGTTTGGAGGTTAATTCAGCTTTGTAATCGTTCACCCACGCTCTCATTCATATACGAATTTCTCAAAGTTACCTAATGCTACTGCTTAAGTTTGAAAAATTAACCTAACATTATCAATATTTTGAAAAAAACTATATCAAATGATTTGAAGATTTTATTTATTTAGATTTAGATTTATTTAGTCAAAAAAACGTAAAAACGGTATGTACCGTATGGGGGAGAAAATCATCTGCGCACGTTTTCTTGAGTTCCAGAATATCTTCCCGTCATTTGAAATATAAATTGTCGAAAGATGAGAAAAAATTATAAAAAGTCATTTAAAATAAAAATTAAATTTAAAAAGCGCGGGATTAGCAATATTTGAAAGAAACTAGACATTTTCGTTCCCGAGTTATAGAAAACTTATTTGCACCGGTAAACGAATTGCAAGTACGATTTTTCTGCATTGCTAACAAAATAGTAACTCGCCCTCATCTCTACTCCTACCACTACAAGCAAAAGGAGAGTTGAACAAAATGTGCACATAGTAAAGCTACATTTAGGCCCAGAAGCAAAACAAGGGGCATTCTCAGTATTTGTTCACTGGATCAGGGAAACGACAAAAACCTGATCGAGGTGGTGTTATAGTCGGCGCAAAAGAGATGTGGCATAGCATCTCCGAGGTCGTGAAGAAATTTGAATTTTCCCATACAACCATTTCACGAGTGTATCGTGAATATCGGGAATCCGGTAAAACATCTAACCTCGGGCACCGCTGCGGCCGCAAAAAGATCGTGCAAGAATGGGACCGATGACGACTGAAGAGAATCATTACAAGTGACAGAAGTGCAACCTTCCCGCAAACTGCTACAGATTTCAATGCTGGGCCATCGACAAGTGTCAGCGTGCAAACCATTCAATGATACTACCGATGCAGGGTTTCGGAATCTTAAGGCCACTCGTGTACCTTTAATGACTGCACCACACAAAGCTTTACTCCTCACCTGGGCCCGTCATCACCAGTGGCGTGTGGTGAACGGCTTAGTTTGATAATAAATTACATATAGCCGATATGCCATTCATTAGTTTTAAAAAGTTGGATATCAAATTTCCGTACACACGTTTTCGAAGTAACCGGCGTTGGTCTTCTGCCTTAGTATGCTTTTATCTTCAAAGTTCCGCGAAACAAAAGTCTTCATCAATAAATCGCCAATCACGCACGTGTGCAGGTCTATATACCCCGCTGCTTGCAGGAGAAAGATCCACGTTTGTTCTCATCCTTCCGAAACACTAGCGGTCGTAATCTTACTGATTGCGTACTCTACAGTATAACTCACGTGGTAGTTTCACTTACAACGGTAAACTAAAATCTGAATTAACATTTATAAACGTAAACATATTCTTCACTTCGAATTACGCAAAAGATTTTTCTTTGAAACATGATTTTCATTCAAGCGAGGTCCCGCATCTCAGCCGAATGCAGGCCCCTACGTATCGCTCGGAGCACACACAACTGCACCCGAGCTTCCTGACGCCCCGCGTGCACACCGATGCTTGCAAGCGCGGGCATTTCATAATTACTAACTTCAACGATACAACGCTTTAGATAAATTATAAGATTTATGTTATAAGTAAAGTAACTTACAAGGTACGCATCGCGTACATGAAGTACACGCACTAGTCAACACAGACATTGGACTGTTGACTGGAAACGCATTAAATGGGAGGACGAGGTCTCGTTTCTCATTGTTTCGAGCGGATGGACGAGTATGGCGGAAATCTCATCAATCCATGGACCCTGCATGTCAACAGGGGACTATTCAGGCTAGTAGAGGTTCTGTGATAGTTTGGTGCCTGTGCAGTTTGAGTGATATGGGACCCCTGGTACGTCTAGATACAACAGGCAACTTAAGCATCCTGTCTGATTACCTACACCAATTCATGTTCATTGAGTATCCCGACGGACTTGGGCAATTCCAGCAAGACAATGCGACAGCCTTCATTCCAGAATTGCTACAGAGTGGCCCCAGGAACAATCGTCTGAATTTAAACACTTCCACTTGTCACCAAAATCCCCAGACACGAACATTATTGAGTATATCTGGGTTACTTAGCAACGAGCTGTTCAGAAGAGATCTCCACTCCCTCGTTCTCTTACGAGTTTAAGGACACCCTGCAGGATTCGTGGTGTCAATTATCTCCAGCATTACTTGAGACATTACTCGAGTCCATGCTACGTCAAATAAATGCTAGTGTTAAAAATAATTATGTAGAAATACTTACCAAGATGCCATAAGAATGTGGTTTAGTAACTCCATCTACAATCTTTGGATTTCTATAAACAAAATCTAAAGGAATAGTATTAAGGATGAATTAGTTAATATTGCAACTAAGTTCTTTCAAAGTTTTAAAAAACAGTAATTAATTATTTTTATAATTGTAAAATAAATAAAAAATACTCACTGGGTGGTGTCACATTATGTTGATTTCCCATTAGGGACAATTTTTCAGTTTTCACTTTGTTGTTACTGATGTTCAGCATCCTGAATAAAATAAATCAAAGTTTTGAAATCTGTTTTGTCAAGTGGCCTGTACACAATGTTTTTTCTTTGTTAAAAATACCTTAATTTATTTATTTATTTTATGGCAAGCGCACAGGAACCATAACACAGTAAATGCAGTCCATGAAATACCTAATATATTAGAGTAATTTACCTTAATTTTTCTTTTCGTTCAAACTTTTGTTTGGATGTTATTTTATTCTTTGAGGATGACTTTATTAAATTGATAATCTGCGACTTTTTTCTCTTTTCTGAAAATGGAAAGAGTAAGAAAATAGACATCTGGTGAGAAGGGAGGCTACTACAAAATTCAAAACAACTATTTACAGTCATATTTGATTAAGAACATATTGGATAGTACTACGGTCATAAATTGATGTTTTGAATTTTGTGGACTAGCTCCATCTCTCACTGGTTATTGAATAAGTTATGATTATCAAGATTGTCACAACAAAACATCAGAATCTGTAAACAACTAGCTAATAAGAAATGGATAAATATGCCTTGATAATTAAAAATGTATTTCTCTTTGTACTTGGGAATGAGTTTCTGGAGTATTTAACGTTTGCAACAAAAAAAATTACATCTATAATTAAATGAAATTACCTCTGCAGTCTCAGAAAAAAATATATTGTTATTAAGCATTCAATAAAGCTAGGCGATTTCAATACTTTGTAATATGAAATTTAAATGCAGGCAATAGGAAACTCGAAGGATTAAAATGTACTTTGTTAGATCATTCATCACTCAAGTTCACTATAAGTTGTTGGGACTTGTATAGAACCAAGGGAATTTTAAGTATCAATTGGGTTCAGAAATAATTAGCAAAGTTGTGTTCGATGTTGGCAAAAAAAATTGGAAAAAAAATCTGGATGGGAAACGTTCGACAAAAGGTGAAAAATCTATGATTACTGATAAAGAACAAATTTCATTTGAACAAAAATCTCCGCTTACTGTCTCGTATATGTACGTATATATGGAGTAGTATGCACTGAAGAGCCAAAAAAACTGGTGCACCTGCCTAATATCGCGTAAGGTCCCGGCGAGCACGCAGATGGCCGCATGGTATGGACTCGACTAATGTCTGAAGTAGTGCTGGAGGTAATTGGCACCATGGATCCTACAGGACTATCCATAAACTGTCAGACCAGGCAACGTGTTTCCAGTCAATAGTCAAATGTCTATGTTGACGGGCCCAGGCGATGCGTAATGCTTTGTGTCGTGCAGTAATCTAGGGTACACGAGTGGGCCTTCGTCTCCGAAACCCCATGTCGACAATGTTTCGTTAGTACGCTGACACTTGTTGATGACCCAGCATTGAAATCTTCAGCAATTAGCAGAAGCGTTGCGCTTCTGTCACGTGTAATGATTCGGCTCAGTCGTTGTCGGTCCCGTTCTTGCACGATCTCTTTGCGGCCGCAGCGATGCAGGGATTCCCGACATTCACGGTACTCTCGTGAAATGGCCCGAGGGGAATTCCAAATTTCATCGCGGCCTCGGAAATACTATACCCTATCTCTCTTGCGACGAATATAACACGACTTTCAAACTTACTTAAATCTTAGTAACCTGCCATTGAAGCAGCAATAACAGTTCTAACTGCCAGACTCTGGTTGGCTTATATCGTCGTTGCCGACCGGAGCGCCGTATTCTCATTGGTTCCAGATCTCTTTATTTCAATACGCATGGTTGTACCAGTTTTCTTAGCTTTTCAGTTTTTGAGAAATTGTTTATGATATTTTTATATTGAACGTACATCAAGCAATATTTCGCGAAGTCGACTTTTTTTTTATTTGTAGAATAGAGTGTAGAATAAGAGACACTTGAAATATGTAATTAGTTCGTTATTCACTGTTAATTTAGAATTTTCGAAAATTAGAAAACTTTGATTTTTTTCATGAGAGTGTTTCTACAACTACAAAATTGAAAATAGATATTTTTCTTTCAAGTAATTTTCTTTCTCCAAATTTTGTTGTTTCATTAAGGTCATTAACATTTTTTTTAAATTTAGTCGAGTTCGCGAAATATTGCGTGAAGTATGTGCGATATAAAAAAAATCATTAACAATTTCTCAAAAACTGCCACGAAGTTTTTCTTTAAGCTTTTGGTAGGGATAGTGCTAAATTAAATGTATAAGATGACAAACTTTATTTTGCTGTAATTCTTTTGTTGTTGTTTTTTTAATTATTACAAAATGTATTTTTTGACTTGTCTCTCGCGTCGTTAATATTTACATTAGCAGCAATCTGTGCATATTATTGCATCTATGTGTCCATGTGCTTTGAATGATGTCATAAAGTTTCTCGAAATCACAAGTTTTCTGTATTGGTAAATTGTTAATGTAATTTATACGATATTGTACATAATCCGTTACCAAATATTTGTACTCGATCCTTATAAAAAAATTGGATTATCAGTTTTCGTACGAAAGGTAATCTTGGACCCAGTAACCTCTGATATTTGCAAATACGAACAAAATAAGTTTTGATAGATGTTAAATGTTCATATTTTTGTTTTTGATAAATGTTGAACAAAAATAAAATTCCTTCCGATCATTGAACATATCATTACATCATTTGTATATGGGAGATCTTTTTTGTAGGAATATTTTAAATTTTTTCTACATTAATTTTGTATAGAGGATAAATTTCGGTAGGATTGATAATTATGGAGTTACATGCAAAAACGTTGAAAAAACACCTTTAAACGGACCTTCCACCTCTGTCCCCCCCACAAATAGGATTTTTCACTTCAGGATTTTTAGTGTAACGTGAGGTTAGAAACAAAAAACAAACAATCATACCGAGTTTCAGAACTCCGAAAATCATACCGAGTTTGTTTTTCTTCGATCACCATTTTTGGGCCTAATTTTCAGGTATTGAATATTCTTCAGGTAAAAATTGAATATTCTTCAGACCGGGATAAGTGACCAGGGGCGGAAAATAAATAAATCGAGTTTTCGTCAATAAAGAAACACATATTATTTTTTAATTATTCAACCAGATAATTAAGGTTTTGTTAATTATCCTGATGGTTTGTTGACTTTTTTGTGAAATCAATTTCAATTAAAAATTACCTAATAAACGAGACTACCTTCAAATGAAATATCTTCCACATGAACTTCAATGTTTACTTATCCAGTTTTTAAAACATTAATAGTTTTGGATAGATGTTTTAATTTTGAGCATCGATGTTTTGTTGATGTCGCATCCCTATAAATAAAAGACTATAGCTCTACCAGTCAAAAGAACTCTCAATACGCATGCCCGAAAGTGGCCTCCACCTCCAAAGATATAAACATTTCTCCGGCTGCCTGCGCCCTTGTCACAACATAGCCTTTTCTTTCTCTCGTGGGTTGCGCGCGGTAATTCAACACAGCGAGTTTGTCGGTAATAAACTGATGAGTGAGAAGGGTCAGACGAAAGGCAGCTAACGAGCTTACTTTCTGCAATAGGGGTTGTCCTAATGATCAACAGAAAACAAGGCGTGCCTTGAAGGACGGTTTCAGTACAAAGCTAATGTAATTTTACTCGTCTTTCAACTATTTATAGTTAAAATGGCGGGAAGGGATTCAGGAACTCAAGAAAACGTGCCCAGATAATCTTTTCCTCCCCACGTCACATACAATTGTTACTGTTTTTTGACGGAATAAATCTAAATCAAATGGACCAACACGTTGATGGATTCATTTCTTTGGACACTCCTGGAAGTGCGAAATCCTCTTCTGACGATGAGGGCAGTGATGACAAGTGACGGTCAGTGCGATCGATGTGTATCGCAGTCGCCTCTCCTTGACACCTCCGCGATTCCTTATCGCCGAGAGGGGAAATCTCAGCTGACGCAGGGTGGGGGAAGCCTCCGAGACTTCACCTAAGGTGCGGCCGCCATTTTTTTTTCTTCCGTACAGCTGTAGTAAATGTATTTTTTCCCAGTGACTTGCGTTTTACTTTGAGTTCCAATATACCCAATTAAGTACGGTACAAAATTTTCTGAACAATAAAAAATCGCAACTAAATTGTTAAACAATTTTTGGCATTAGCTTCTGCGTATAAAATCAGAGTTTTTGCTGTCTCTTGGTAAAAATCAGAATTAAATAATATAGTGAGTTGTATTATAAGAGAGCCCATCCTAAGACAGCTTTGGGCCCTCACCATGATTAATCCGGCCCTGTTCGGATTAATTGTTTTCCTCTGATAGAGAAAAGTATGCTTATCAAAATGGCATAGGTCCGATTATCGTTAAATTTCCATAATTTTCGAAAAATGTAAAAGTTGAATTATCTTCTAAACGAAATTATATTGAAAATTAGATCTTTATAAGAGGTCATGTACTTATATTTTCTTCAAAACAAAAAAATTCGTATGATTTTCGGTGATAAAATTTTACCTAGTGCTACAGAATGGCACAGCCTTTCTCGTACTAGTTAGTTTTCTTATTTCTTTGTTCAGGGCTAGCTTTTCGGTTTTGCCTCACCCTCTTCCTAGCTGCCATATATCGCCGCCCAAAGAACACTTTTTTACATTTGCTCAATTTTTCGGTCCCCTGAGGGTAGAACTGCCCCACGTGTAGCTCAATGCTCAGCTTTCTATAACGCAACCCCGAGTTGGATTCCTGGATGGGGCAGATTATAGTGTGCGTTTTCCTTGCAATGTCCCAGTATATGCTGATGAATGACGATGGGAAAGCTCACTTCTCAATTTAAACAGATCAGAATCCGGCGTAGGGATGTCTATGAGCTAACCACACGTACCTCTTACAGCATGACCGCAAGACGCCGCGTCGCTGGCTCCGTCAGGAGTTGTGATGAAAAATATTGAAAAGAGTAAAACCCTATCCTACATGACCATTTCTTTGGAAAATTTGGAACGGTTTTTGAGAAAATGTCGTTTAAGCGTTTCTATAAATACGAAATTTTCAAGCTCTTTTTCACAAAAAACTTCTAGGGTTTGAAGAAACTTCATTGGAAATCATCTGAAGCACTTTGATTCACTAAAGCAATAATGTATACAAATTGCAGGTAATATAAATATTAACAGCATGAAAGATATTTCAAAATAATACAACTATTTTAAAAAACAAACAAATGAAGACTTCAAAATGTCATTTATGATATATTATTTAGTCCATTTAGCATTAAACGTTCGAAAAAAATATAACAATGAATACATGTTAATGAAAGAACTAATTATTGATGACAAATTTCATTTGAAGCAAAAATCGCAATCTTTAATATCGTAGTTGTAGGAAGACGCCGAAAAAAATCAAACTTTTGTAGTTTTCGAAAATAGAGAGTCAACACACAATAGAGAGTGAAAATCGGA